CTTCAGGAGCGCAGTTTGCTGGCTTGGATGTCAGCACAGTCTCCTTCTCCTTTCTGCTTTTCTGAGGCTCACATTGCTGTTTTCACTGTCCAGCTGGATCCACCTCCCAGCTGGATTTTGCCATTTCTGTTCTTCATCCTCTTCAGTGATTACTACCAAATGCCGGCAGCCTGCCCATCTTTGTCTGCTGCAGTCACAGCTCCTGTCTCCCTGTGGAGCCCTCATCTTTGTGTACAAGCCTCGCTGCTGCCTTATCCTTGTCCTCCTGACAGCTGCCTCCTCCCTTCTGCTGTGCCACTGTCTCCCCCAGACCCTCGTGCTCGCTGCTGTCCCCCCTTGCGCTGTCAACCCCTGTGCTGAGCAGGTGCTCTGTGAGCAGTGCCTCTGCTCAGGGGAGGCGATACTGACCCCAGGCATGCATGGGCGTGGCTGGTGGCATTGCAGCTTTGCAGTCTCAAAGCCTACAGCATTGTAAACTCCACAGCCAAGCTTTTGCTCTGATGAAGTACTCCAGGCCCCTCCTGCATGATCCCTTGGTACAGGGCTCCTAGGATAACAGAGCCCAGAGGTCTGTTAGCTTTTTCTGTTCTCTCTTACTGCTGTTCCTGCTGACCAGCTCATCTGCATGCTGCCTTCACAGGTTTTTCACTGCCACTTTAACAGCAACTTCTTCCCTCTGTTCCTGGAGCACCTGCTGTCAGACCAGATCTCTGTCTCTACTGGATCGTTCCTGCTCGGTGAGTCTCAGGTGGGACTGGAGGGAACAGCTGGGTTAGGATCTGGCCTGAGTCTGGATTTGCTCTTCCCCAACCCCATCTGGGGAGAGGTGTGTCCTGTGCTGGTCTCTGGGCTGTAAGATTCACACACACATCCCACATGCTTCCCTGGGACCTCTGCATCTTCCTTCCTGGGCACAGAAGTAACTTGGAGTGTTCTCTAATGGTGGTGAGCCCAGTGTGCTGGACTCTGGCCTAGACACCACGGGGGTATTGCTCTGAGCATTACTGGCTGCAGATAGTGTCCCCAGGATGCAGCAGGGACACAGCCCTGAACTTAATCCCTTTCTGTGGCCATTCCCAGGCTGCCACAGACTTGTGGGCAGTGGTTCTAGAGTTACCCTGGGAGCGTTCTGTGGGGGCCAGGTCTTGTTGTGTTGTCCTGTCCCTCTCATTCCTGCTCCAGGGCCTGAGTCCCAGCCCCTGCAGGACTGGGCAAGTCTTTTCTTCCTGCCCATGAGGCTGATGGAAGAAGGCTTCCCTCTGTAGAGAGAGTGTGTGAGAGTGTGTGCTGTGCCACAAAGCCACCGAGTGCATCTGCTGCAGCCTTCTGTATGTGCATGGGGGCTATTCTGTACTGCGTGTCCGAGAGCCAGCCTTGTTCTCTCTCGGTATCAGTCCTGGAGGCATGGTGGATACTGAAACTCCCTCAAGCTATTTGTGCCTCTGTCTCTGCTCAGGTGTTTCCTACATTGCCCCCCATCTCAACAACCTGTACTTCCTGTCCCTCTGCCGCCGCTGTGGGGTTTATGCTGTGGTGCGAGGCCTCTTCTTCCTGAAGCTGGTGCTCAGTGTTGTCATGCTGCTGGCAGGACCTGATCAGGTGTATCTGCTCTGCATCTTCATTGCCAGGTAGGCAGGCTGGCAGCACTTGCTTCCCCTGCCCTCTGCCACCTGGGAGGGGAAATTACTTGCTTCTGTTTTATGGAGAGAAGTGGGAGGCAGGGAACAGTAGCCAAGGTCACACAGAAGCCATGTGACTCCCAGCTCTGACAGCATGCGTGCATGGGACAGGTCACTGCAGAATGCGCTGGCTGTGCCTGCAGCAGAGGGAGGGAGGCAGCAATGTTCAGGACAGAGACCCAGCAGGGCTGGTGGCAGCCTGCAGCAGCCTTTTACAGCTGCTGAGCTGAGCTACTCGCCTCTGCAGCCTGCCTGGGGTGGTAGACCTCAGGGTGTGCTGCAGCTGCCTGTTAGCCAGTGTGTTCTGTCCCTGGGCCTGTCTGTGTGGCAGGCGAGGACTGATCCAAGGCATTGCTGCAGGGGACACAAGGCTTATTGCTAGCAGTGTTCCCAGGGCTTCTGAAATTCTAAGTGTGGGGGAACCTTTCTCACTCTCTCCCCCATTTCCCTGATCTCTTACCTACTCCTGTCATTTCTCGATGCTGCTGTTCAGTGCTTTGCCTGTTGTTCTGCAGCAACCGAGTGTTCACAGAAGGGACCTGTAAGTTGCTCAACCTGGTGGTCACCGACTTGGTGGATGAGGATCTAGTCCTGAACCGTAGGAAGCAGGCGGCCTCAGCGCTGCTCTTTGGGATGGTGGCTTTGGTCACCAAGCCAGGCCAGACCTTTGCCCCTCTGATTGGCACCTGGCTGCTCTGTGCATATACAGGTAAGGGTGCTCCTGGGGAAAGCATCGGGGCAGGAGAGGGCAGACCTGCTAGTTCAGTGTCCTCCGCCATGTCCTGTGTGGGTGCAGAGCTCTTCCAGTTGCTAAGCTGTGCTTGGTCTCTGCATCTCCAAGGCCAGTCACCCAGAGAGAATGGATGAGGGTCCATCCCCACTGACCCCAGTCTCACAAACTCTTTTCTGACACCAGGCTATGACATATTCCAGCGGAACCCCTTGAGCAACGTGGTGAGTGCCCAGCCAAAGCTGGAGTCTGCTGCAGCCTTGGAGCCAACTCTTCGTCAGGGCTGCTTTTACCTCCTTGTCTTCGTACCCATCACATGTGCGCTGCTGCAGCTTCTCAGCTGGTCGCAGTTCAGCTTGCATGGGAAGCGTCTGCAGATGGTGAAGGCTCAGCGCCAAAGCCTGACACAAGGCCGAGCACCAGAGGTCAGAACGATCTAGGGGTGCCCGAGCCCCCGGGGCGGTGCTGGTTCCAGGCTGGTGCAGGACGGCAGGTTAAGTGCAGGGAGGGTGGGCTGAGAAACCCCGATGTTTACTGTTCAACTGTGAAATGCTGTAATGCCAATGTTTACTTGTTCCAGGAGGTGGTTGCTGAGGAAGGCAGAGAAGTTCAGCATGTGAAGGGCCTGGGATAGATCACTTGGCTACAGGAGCAAGAACATTTTATCCTAGCCTGTCCCAGGGAGTAGAAGGGCTGCTTATTCCCTGGAGACAGCCACAGCCCTGCTGCAGTCCTCTGCCCTGGGGAACCACAGCCTCTCTGGCTGAGCAGGAGGGGACTGCTTTGGGGAGGGGGAGGCTCCTGAGGGACCAAGTGATTGAGGGGGTAACTGCAGGACAGCAGGAGCAGGGATGAGAGGACTCTGAAGGCCTTTCCTAGTAGTGGTACAACCCTTCCCAGATACAGTGCTGCAGTTCTTGGACCAAATTCACTCTTATGCAGTTCTTGTTCCCAGAACAGTATCTGGCACCACCAGGGTCTGCTGGCTGTGCTTGTTTTATATGCTGAGGCTCCCTCCTCCGTGGCCTTGCAGACATAGTTCTTGCTGGGCTGGGAAAGGTGCTGGGCTTGAACAGGGCTCTGAGCCTTGAGCTGGAATGTCCCACCTGGTGTCCCACTGCCTGTGTTTGCCCCTTCCAGCTGGTGCTGTCACACAGCTGTGCTGTAAGCCCCATCCCATGCTGGCTGGGTCCAGGGTGAGGGAACCCACCCCTGACTGAGCCCCTGGAAGTGCCTCCCTGCCCAGGGCTGCCCCAGGTGCCCTGGTGAGGCAGCCTGGAGCCTTCCCCTCCTGCAGGGGGAGAGCAGAGCCTGGAAGGGACACCAGGTCTTGCTTTTGTGCCTTCAAGTCCTCTTTGGAGCTTGTCTGACAGTGTCAGGAAGTCGCAGGGGTGAGATTTTACCTCTGTGGGGAGAGGCAGACACCTCAGTTCCTCTCTGCCCCAGAGTTTGGTCATCTCATCTGGCTGCTGGGCCATGGACCCAAGGAGAGTCCCTGCTCCCAGCCAGAACTATGTGGGCAGGTGGTCACGCAAGGGATCCCTGAAGGGAGGGAGTGTCTCTGTCCTGTAGTTGGGGGGCAGGCAGAAGAGATGTGCCAGGCTCTGCCCTGGGTATGCCTGCAGGCAGAAGGGGTGTGTAGGCAGCATGTGAAAGCTGATGGGTGCTTAGGAGAGTGCTCATTGTTTAGTGCCAGGTTCCCTCTGGGGTCTCAGCCCACAAACCTGCTATCTTGCCTCAGGACATGGCTGCCTTCTGTCTTGGACCAAGACATTCCTGCTGCCAGGCTTCTGTAGCTCTTGCTGGTTCAATCATAAGTTATTTGTGCAACTTCTAACAAAGTTTGAAAATGATTCATTTCATAAATTAAAGATGATCTTTTCTGTATGGCTCAGTGATTTTCTAAGAGGTGGATCACTCCTGGGTGGGTTCATACAGTGTCCCAGAGGCACAAATGTGGTTTTATGGGAGAAAAAGGGACTATTCCTCTCCAGCAAAACTGGGTGCTGGAGCTCACTGGTGTTTCTGCAGGGGGCAGAGAGGATCACCCATGTGGGGGGAGGCAAGTCACTTACCCCTGCTGCTCTGGAGGTCACCAGGGCCTGGACTGTCCTTTCACCAGCTGCTTCTGGAGGTGGCACAAAGGCTGGGGACAGTTGCAGGCCTGGGCACTGTGCCACCTCCCTGTCTCCAGGCCTGCCCTGGGAGCAAAGCCTGCCATGTTGGATCTCTGCAAGTGCCTGGGCTGGCACCAGCTCTTCTCACAAGGACAGCGGTGTCACTGCCATCACTGCCTGCACCAGCCCTCGCTCACAGCTCCACTGCGCCTCGGCTGCACTTGACCTGTCAGCAGTGAGAAATACAATATAAAATGGTTGCTGAGGAGAGTGGCTTTGAACACTACCGGCACAGGCCACAGCTGCAGCCCAGGAATCTCCTCCCTCAGCTCCAAAGCCAGGCCAGGAATGCAATCCTGGACCAGAGGTGGCATCTCCTTGCAGAGACTGGCCAGCAAGCAATTCTGCACAGGGAAGAACACAAGTTACCTCCTTAGAAATCCAAAGGTGGGAAGATGAGGCCAGGAGGCTTGATGGTTGTATATGAATGACTTTATTTAAGTATGCTGGGCACCACCAGGCAACATGGTTTAGACAGTGTGCGAGGGAACAGTCAGGCAGATCAGATGCACGCTAGATCGGAGACGGCACCTTTCTGTCTGGTCACTGCAGGTTACAAAATGGAGCACTGCTGCTTCTGCAAGGGCAGCAGAGGGGCAGGGAGGGGGAGGAGATCACTGGCACTGCCTGGGGGGCATGTGGTAACTGACCCGAGGGGTTTGCTGCTTCCCCTCTGCATGCTGCAGCAAACCAGCAAGAACCCAACTGATTTTCCAGCAGAAGGATAAGCTTTGACAGCTCTCGCTTAAAACACAGTCTGGTGCTGCTGGGGGTAGGTGAACAAGCAGCCTGGCCTCAGCTGGGAAGGGACCACCACACCTGCCTGCCCACAGCCTCTGAGCTCAGCAGCAGGCCCTGAGAACACTGCTCCTGCAGGGGCAACATGCTGCTGCTCACATTCGTCTCCGCTGGGGCAGTGCACCCTTTTGCCACACCTCTGCAGCAGCCCTCCAGCTCTGACCCCATCTCTGCGCTCAAGAGTGACCCCAAGGTGATGTGTGGCAATGAACAGAAAGGAGGGGAACAGGGAGGAACTGCCACCGAGCAACTCCAGCTTCACTGCTACTGCCAGAGACTGCAGAAAATTAACAACGGAAAAAAACAAAGAGCACCAAATAATGCGTAAGAAAAACCTGAAGGGGAAACAGCAGCACTTGCCAATACGAGGGGTCTTTAGGTCTGCCCATGGCTGTAAAAGCAGAAGCAAAGCAGCCTCCAGGCGAGCAGGAAGGCCTATGCAGTACGGCACAGCACGGCCATCACAACAGCTTCCTGCTCACAAACCTGCCGCTCACACCAACGTCCTGGCACAGCTCACTGTCCTCCCGCTTTGTGTATTCAGAGAACGGGGAGGTGCCCCCAGCAGTTACCGGGTGGTGGCGCAGGGCTGGCTGGCGATTCCGCTAAGCACATGCGCTGTAAACAGTGTTAACATGGAACCATGGACAGCTAGGTAATGGGTGTTCAAAGAAGATCCAAAGCGTTATTCCCAGGTGCTGTGGTCAGTATTTGACATATCCTCAGACAGTTCAATAAATAAAACAATTCTTACATTACAATGCACCTTTTCAATTATTATTTTGACCCAGAATGGATAAAGTACACAGGAGTTATGCCTGGCTGCAAATACATGCTCCCTTTGCCCTGACATGGCAGGAAGGAGGGAAACAGCCTCAACTCTTACAGAGAAAGAACATGAGAACCCAGCACTGTAAATCTTGGCAGGTTGAGGGGGAACACACAAGTGCCTTCACCCCCATTCCGGGGCACTTGCTTCCAGAGGAGAAAAGGTATTTAAAACAAGGTACGAGAGAATAACCGCCTAGTACAATGATAGCTGATTAGATTTGCTTTGTTCTACTCCATGCAATACAAACTAAGTCCTATCACCAACTTCTCCAGCTGTGGCGCAGACCCACACATCAGGTGAAGAAGTTACACACGCATACGCACACTCACACACCAAAAACAGTGGGGGCAAATGGGCTTAACCGCTGAGAATGTCCTTTCTCTTAATAAAAAATATATTAAAAACAACTTCAATAACCTACTGATGGTGAATACACTGCAGAAGAAAGCAGCTATGGAGCCTCAGCTATGTGTTTCCGGACAATCCAGGCATTGCAGCCAGGCTGACTAAGGCCTGCATGAGCAGTCTGCAGTGGTTGGCTCCCTTCTGGCTTGCTAGGCAAATTCTATAAGCTGTTCCCTTTGTTTTTGCTTGCTTCTTTGTTTTACAGTGACAAATGTGATGACGATACAGAAAGTAAGGGACTGAAATGAAAAAGGAATGAGCCATTCTGGAGAAATTCAGACTGGTATTTTCTCCTTTCCATTTAAAAAACCCAACAAAAATAAAATTAAAAAATAAGAAGTTAGTAGTACTAATACAACCCTTCTGCTGCTGTCGTCTTTGCTCAGTGACATCGGGGCATGCTGGCACACACACACACACACAGGCAGCTCTCAGACACTCGGACTCAGAAAAGCGAGTTTAGAACTGAAGTGAGTCTTCGGAGGAGACTGAGGACAGGTCCCAGGGCTAGAAGGTTTTTCGGTGGATGGCACGAGCTCCGTCTTCTTCATATTCCTTTTTCGAAACCCACATTTTCTTAAAGGTGTCCAGTGAGGCCAGGATAGAGCCACTGGGGAGAGACAGGCATGTTAGGGGTTAAAGGAAAGTGCTAGGGGCACTCTCATGGTATCTCTGCAGCAATGCGCTGTTTCTACTTCCTAACACTTCCCAACACTTCCCTGTGTCAGAAAGGTGCTGAGGCTCCCAGTTATGTACAACAGAAATGCTCTCTGGACAGTTGCTTCTTCGTGCTAGCCTCAAACATGCTGGCACTACAGAGCCTAGCACCAGCCGCCCCCTCCCAAGCAACCTGCTGACTGCTGCTCCAGTAACAGGCTGAGCATGGTGCAGCTGAACGACACCCCAACACACAGCACCAGAAGGGACGGCAGCATCAGTGCCGACAGGCTGCACCTCCCCAGCCCGCATCCCACAGCGGGACGTGTCGCCATGCAGTACATACCCAATCCATGTGGAATACAATCTCTCCTGAGGAGCCGATATCTGGGAGAAAGAGAGAATCAGTCAGTGCCCTCCCAAGGTCCAGTCTGCTCCCGCTGGCATGGTGTCCCTATTTCACTATGGCTAAAGCTGACAAACACAGGTGGGATCTCTCCCACCAGAAAAACACCCAGCAGCACCCCCAAAACAGCCACTGTGGTCCAGGATCCTGGACACGGGTCATGTTTTCAGAGGAGCCACCTTCTCACCAATGAAACCAAACAAGTTTTTATCACAACAGCAAATACAGTCTCAGGAAAGCAATTTCTGCCTCGGAGCAAACATACAGCAGCTGCACTCTCAGCATGGTTTGTTAAGGGCCACACAACCACACACACAGTCAGTGATAAAAACAAAAGAGATTGTTCCTACCCTTATTTTAACATCCTTTGGAGCTAGTTTCTTCACTTCACTCAGCAGCCTGTCACCAAAGCCTACATAAGACAGAAAGCATGTAGTCTGAGCCCCTCACCAAAATCCCAAGTTCCATCTACTAACAATGTGGACACGTCCTATGCAGTCCTATTCAAACATCCCATTCCAGATCTCAGAGACACCCAGAACACAGCCGGTGTGATAACAGATGCTATCTCCCCCAAGGCAGACCACAAATATTGGCACAACAGGCTCTATCACTCAGCAGCAACTTGACATGAGCAAACAGTATTTGTAGCTAGGGTCACAGGTGGGCCAGTTCTGCCCACCTTCCCTGGGCATTCCTCCTGTGTCCAGGCCAGAGAGGAGCAGGGTTTGAATGGGAAGAGCAGGACCTATTGGGAGATATACAGACTGACAGGCTCTGGCAGAGGATATCTTTAAGCTGGTGGGGGCTAGCTGAGCCCCGTGGGGATGGGTAGAAAGTTTTCTGCACACATGTAGCTGACATTTCATGCAGTACCAGTACTGCTGGACTCTCTTGGGTATCAAGGACCTGAGATGGAAGAGCCTTTTAGGTATCCAGTCTCAATTATCCTGAACTAAAGCAGCAGAAACGAACACAGCTATTTAGTCCTGACACAGGCAGAGTGATAGGAAGAAAAAGACAAAAGCCCCCCAAGCCCAGAAAGTGATATACAAGGACAGAGGCATCTTGCATACCCAGAAGGGTATGACTAGGACTCACAAAATTAAACAATAACCCTCCGCTGAGAGAGCAGAGTTCCCACAGCCCTTATCTCACAAGATAAGTTGGGTGATCTGGGTTATTCTTCCAGTTACACATGAGAAGGAAGAGATCAGGTATGTCACAGCCCACTGAGAGAGGAGAGACAGGAACCTTTGAAGAGCGTGGAGCCTCCAGACAGCACGATGTTGGAAAACAATGTTCGCCTCAGGTCCATGTCTGATTTCTGAATGGCAAAAACAAGCACCTCATGCAGTCCTTCACATTCCTCCCCTATCAGGTCTGGCCGGAACAGGAGCTCTGGGGCTCGAAAACGGGCAGAGCCAATCTGCAAGGAAGGGGAGAAGTAAGCACAGAGGGAAAGAGAGCACCGTGCCTTTGTTCACTATGTACAGTTTGCAGGACCTGCCTTTCTTAGGTGAAACTTCAGAGTTCAGAAGTTTCCCTGACTTTCATGCTGCATCACTACCTCTCAAGTGAACACCAGTTTGGTCTACTGCTCCAAGAAAATGTGCTATTTACATTTTGCAGATGAAAGAGATGAAGAAATTTGCTCAGTCCCATACAGCAGGTCACTGGCAGAAGATGGAGCAGCTCCACCCCTGATGCTAGAGGCAAGACCTGTATTTCATCTCCAACCATTCTGTAGTGCGCTCAGTCTTTTGAGTATTCCTAACTCAGTCTTCAAAGCAACTGTTTCTGCACCTCTAGGCAGAACAAAAGCCACATACAAACCCACTACTGAGTTTAGTGAGCTGATAACTACCCACACTCCATACCTGATCTGCATAAAGATTGGCTAGATCAGAGCCTTCACTCAAACAGCTGAGTCCCCATGGTCATGCTGCATCCTTAACCAGCACTTCCAGTAGAAGCTGTGAGGTTTCTAATAATGTTTTCTTCACATAAAAATTCTAGTGCCCAGTCAACAGCCTGGGATGAGTTCTGGTCTTTTAAAATTATCCCTTCCCACCTAATGTCACATTACATTTCCCATCACTAGGCAGGCAGCCCTTCTGGAAACCCTGTGCTTCATGTTAGGAATCCTCTGAGGATGGCCCTTACATACCTCAATAGTGCTTCCATCTGGCAGGTAGTACTGAGCCTTCTCAGTCTCCAGAGTCTCATCCTTCTGGGGGTTTATTGACAGGTAGCAGGCACGCTGGAGAGGAAATATGAGTCAGGAAGAGAGAGAGAGAGAGAGAGAGAGAGAGAGAGAGAGAGAGAGAGAGAGATGAGAAGGGTAAACCTAAATGCCTCTGATAAAATACTTTCCTCACTAACAATCAAAATCCATGTATGCCTTTGGGGAGACCAATTTCAACAATATTTCGTGGTTTTGGGTTCACATCAGGTAAAATACCTACTCACGCTACAGCTGATTAGAGACATCAAGGATGCTCACACCCCCTCTAGATGTTGCTCACCTCTCACTTCCAGCTCTCTCTTACTGCTTAGAAGTTACTCCCTCTAGTGCAGATGGGGTAACTATCCTGTGAGTGCTTTCAACCTACTGTAGGGCAAAGCAAAACATGCACTCAAAACACCTTTGGTGACATTAACCTTGTATAAAGATGGGCTCAGGTAACTTCACAACAAATTAAGAGTGCAAACAAAGTCCATTATTCCATTTCAACAGGGTAAACACTAATAGCTAACAGCAGAAAATTCTTAACATGATCCAAGCTGCTCATTTCCCATTGCACACCTACATCTTAAGTTACAAGAAACAAAATATTTTGACTTTTCAAACTTCTCCAGAACTCCATATTTTTTATTCCACTGTAAACTTTGCTATTCCAAATTGTTATCATTTGGAGATTGAAAAAAAAAAAAAAATCTAAACAGAATCACTGAAACATTTAGGTTGGAAGGGCCTCTTGAGATCATCTAGTCCAATGCCCTGCTCAGGCAGGGTCAGCTAGAGCAGGCTGCCCAACACCATGCCCAGTAATGTTTGGTGTAACTCCACAGATGGAGAATCTATAAACCTCTCTGGGCCACTTGAGGGTATCCGACCACTCAGAGTAAACCAAGAAACAGAGAACAATGTTTGTACTGAAGTAGGTATTAAAGGTTCCCCTTTTACAGTAGTTTCTCCTCGAAACTTTACAACACCATCAAAATTTTTTTCCCCTTAAAAAAAACAACTCAAGTCAGATAGACTAACAGATCACAAAACTTTTGGGACTGAGAAACTCCCACATACAGGGTCTCAGCTTTGTGCTTGCCACAGTGCATGCAGGCTGCATATCCAAACTTCTCCAGAAGCAAGAAAGCTGCCAACATGAGCAGCCACACTCAACACCTCAGATTTGAAAACCAAATCACAAATGGCACCAACATCAACAGAAATTTCACTGCAAGTTCCAGGCACAAATATCCTAGAAATCTGCAACACCTTCCCCAGTTAAAACTAAAGTAAAGCAAAAGGTGTAGATTGGAGAGTGAACATCAGGTTGTTTCCTCCCTTCTCAGAAGTCTCACTGGTGAGGGTAGTCCATATGCAAAGCAGAACTTGGCTCACTTTCCCTTGCTTTTTGTTTCCCAAATGTATAGTCCAGAGAAGAGACCGCACTGATGCAAGATGTTGTGATTAACAGTCAGCACAACATCTTTTAATAGTTTTATCACCCAAGATGCAAAGGGAGCCTTGGCCACTTAAGAAGAGTGCAAGCCTCTTGCTTTGTCCCACAAGGCCATTGCAGTTGTACTGTAACTGATACTTGGTACAAAACAGGTTTCTTCTGAAGCAAATTGTTCTCCAGCAAGCCTCTGATCACCAGATCTTCTGGTCCACAGATGCTGCAGCATCTACACATGTCAGCTTTTTCTCTCCAACAATCAGCACTTGTAGAACAGAGAGCAACTGCCAGGTTAAAACCAACAACCCTATGAAGTCTCCAGCTCTGGACAACAGGCAGAAGATATTCAGCTGGACTGTTATGTGAAGCACAAACGCTGCTCCCTCAGCACAGCCACACTGAGCTATAGTGGGGCAGAACAAGCAAACCATTTCCCTTACGGTCCTTTGCTGGTAGGTCACGGGCTCAAGAATAGCTTGTTAAGGCTCTCAAGCCCTGACAGGCTGCTGCCTCAGTCCACAGTCATCTACAGCAATCACAGCTTGTGATGGGGTCCCAAAAGCACTCGGCAATCACAGCCAGGGATGATCTGGAGGACTGACCCCATGCACTGAAGGCATGGATGTTCAGGCAGCCCCGAGTCACACACAGCCTTGCCAAATCCAGAGAGCAACCCATCTGCATGAGCATGGCGATGCCACAAGGCTGCTGTGAGCAGTCACCAGCTCTGAGCTACTACTCACTGTCCCTCCTCTGTCCTCCTCTCTTGGCACCCAACAGAAGCCAAGGTAACTGCTTTGCTAGGAATCTTTATTGTGTCCTTCCAAACCGCTGCATAGCTCTAAAGTCACTAAACATTGCAGACCCTATAAAGAGGGGAAGCTTTTGTAAACATGAATGCTGTGAGTGAATTCTTTCACAGGGGCAGGGGGGAAGCAACCTGCAATATCCCACTTGTGATCCCTACCTGCCATGGATTTTACAGAGCCTTGCCCTGAAGGGTAAACAAACACTAGTGAAAGATACCATCAGACCCTGAGAAACTGCAGCACAGATAAATCTGCAAAGCAGATTCTGAACCACTAGCCTGTCTTCACCTCCACGTCAAACGCCCCTCAGCAGGGACTGGATGTGATCTTGACTAAAAGTCGCCCAAAAAATGGGATGGCTGAGGTTGCAAGGGACCTCTGGAGGTCATCTTGTCCACTCGCCTTGTTCAAGCAGGGTCACCTACAGTAGGTTGCCCAGGATCATGTCTCAGCAATCCCAGCTTTCTCAGCCTTTACTCATAATAGAAATGCTCCAGTCCTTCCGTCATCTTAGCAGCCCTAGTTTCCCTCAGGTAGATAAAGGAATAAGGTGCAGAGTTAGGTAGGCTGGCACTTCCACTAGATTTCACAAGTCACAACTTCCCTTGGGCAGAAATCCCTTCTTGGATAAACACAGAAACAGACAGTACATCACCTCCTTGATGGTCTTGACAATCTCAAACTCGGAGGTTGTGTGGAAGTCATAGCCTTCCTTCCGGAGATAGAGACGCAGGAAGCGTGAGACATCACGGCCAGCGATGTCAATCCGCATGATGGAGTGAGGCATGGCAAAGCCTTCATAGATGGGAACTGCATGGGTCACACCATCCCCCGAGTCCAGCACCACTCCTGTAGTCCTCCCAGTGGCATAGCTAACAAAGGGGCAAACAATCAAGTCAGAAGAGGCAATTCAAAGTCACCCTGAGCATGCAGCACATCCAGGTTCAACGCAGGGAGCAGAGCTTTCACATGAACAAGAGCTAAAACAAAACCAACCAAAAACCTATCTCTCATCATAGTTCAGCAAATTTCTGTGAACTCTATTACAGAAATTAAAATAGAGTTTCAGATCTTGCTTGAGAATGGGATAAGTCAGACATCATTGCGGTCTTCCATAGTTTTGGTGTTTTTTTTCCTGTTTTTTTTTTTTTTCTGAAAAAATGGATTTCACAGCAACATTTCACAAGCACAAATGAAAGACAAAAGACACTTACAGGCTAAGCACAGCTTGCATGGAGATGAATAGCGCTGGCACATTGAAGGTCTCAAAAAACACCTCAGCAGCACGCTCTCTGTTCTTGCGTGGGTTTAGGGGTGCTTCTGTCAGCAGCACAGGATGCTGGTAAAGAAAAGAAGGAGCTGTGCTGCAATAACCAGGAGGCAGCTAGACACGTGTTCCTGAAAGTTTCTGCTTATTTATTCACTTTAGGAACCACTGGTGCAAGAGGACAGGTAGAAGGGAATAGTTTCAGCTACTGAGCTGTGTTAAGACTAAAAATAACCTCTATTAAGTTGGAAGACCAGCAGGGTTCTGGTCTAGTTATGAAGAAGTGTTAGGGAATCTACTCTGTGAATGACCCTGCTGCGTGAAGGACAAACAAGATGACTCTCAGTGCCAGAAGTCAGCCAGATTAGCCAAAATACAGACCCTAAAAAGGGTGAAGGCATATGGTCTCAGCATGAGCAGGCAGAAATATTCCTATTCCACTTATACAACATACTGCTCTCAGTTATTTAATAATTTTTTGGTCATCTTCTTCCAGACCACAGGATTGTGGTTTTCTCCTTCCTCACTTCAAATCACGTCACTGCTGAGTGGATATGTCTGACGTGCAGGCAGAACAGGAAAAGTTAGAAGCACTTGGCCTAGAGCAGAATCATTAGAGAGTGTGAATAACAAATGCTGAAAATCAAATTTTCAGTCAGGACAGAACATTAAATATCAGGAGGAATTCTGCTTGGACACTTCTTGTGCAGTATCTCCTGAGAGGTGAAAAAGCCTAATTAAAGAACAGACACATTTAGAAAGAAGAGCAAGGGAAAAGTCCCAAATCCTTCCTGGGGTTCCAAGATTCCTGGTGTTACCCACACACTGAATGATGCCTGTGTCAGGACATAATGAGGTATCTCACCTCCTCTGAGAATGTCTGAAGCTGGTCTTTTGAATACACATACTGCCAAATGCGCTCCATGTCATTCCAGTCCTTCACTATGCCATGCTCCATTGGGTATCGGATCGAGAGAAGACCTCTGTGCTCCTGAGCAAACAGAAAGGACAACAGAGCACACCTGTCAGACTCAAGCAATCACATTTCTGAGCACTATGGCTATGATTTTATGTCAGACTCACTTATTTTTGATTCCACTAAAAAACATCTCGAGCATACAGGGCAAAACCTGAACATTAATCACAAACATCTCTCCCACAGAAGTATTCACAAGATTAAACACCACCAAGTAGGAAAGCCTGGCACTTGTAGAGCACATTCCATTCTGACACTTTTTAAGCCAACATACAGACACCTATTAAGTGGTATCTTTGTTTTACCAGCTCAGTCATGATATGAAACATAACAGGGTAGTATTGGGGAACGTAGTTCGGCAGGCTCACAAGAAACACGAGACTGAAGACTGTATGCTGATAAAAGCAGGACTGTTGAAAGCAAGCTTCTTGCCCATACCAGGGAGATAAAAAGCAAGTAAGTAGGGGCCATATCTAAAGTTCCCAGTCAAAAAGACAGGGATGTAACCATACAGGCCTAGAAGTAGCCTAGAAAAAAAAGGAGAGATACAGAAGGACTTGGAAAAAAAGGCCTGTGGTCAGCAGGTTAGCACAAGAATTTCATGAAACTTCCCACCCATCCCATTTCATGAAACACCTTGAACACATTTAAAAGTGACAATCTACTCTGCTCCTCAGATCTACACGCTGACACCAAGGAACCACAGCCCATTTAAGCACAGCTGCTACGGCCCATCCTTACAGCAGCATGCTGAGACATATGGAGAAGTGCAGTATACAGGTTTTCTTACCTCTGCCTTTGGACCAATGAAAATGTCCCCTTCTAAAGCACCGGCCATAACACGAGTGTGCTTTGGTCTGCCCACACTAGAACAGAGGCAAGAGTATAAATGCTTCTAGAGAGCTCAGATGCACCCAAGGATTAACGACTTTGTTCCTCTCTGTCCTAACCAGTACTTTCTAAAGCAATGGGTGAGTCTGGCAGCACTATCAGGTGCTGACAGACCCATGTTTGCGCTGAGCTAATCTCAGAATCAGAGGTGAAGGGAACAGATTGTAGACAGTTCTGAATTGGCAGAACATAAGTCAGCTGAGTCTTGCCACACTTTCTCTGATGATTCAGGACTTATTTGTTCCAACAGTGCCTGGGGTGAACATGGCTAGACCAAGCAACCGTCTAAGCTGACAGATCCACATGGTGTTGCCTGAACTCAGTTAGGCTTCTCAGATTAGATATTCATAGTCCCATACCCCACCTCACATACAGAACATGTTGCTCAGAACACAAATACAGTCATTAACAACCCACCCCAATGAAAATAAAAACCAGTGACAATTCAGAGTTCCTGATCCAGCAGTTTTCCTTCCAGTAAAACTCTCAGAAAACTTCCAAGTTTGGCAGGAATCAGGACATCAGATCACACACCAAAGAATTATAGAGGTCTTCATGCCTCTCATCCGAACTTTATCTTTGTCTGGTCCTTTTCCTCATGTCTCAGGACTAAAGTATCCTACAGCTTTGGTTGGGTGTTGAGCCTGACAAAGTGATAAATCATCTTTTACAGTGCATCCCCCCCTGAAAATCTCTAAGTACTTAATAGCAGAGATCTCCTCTCTCTGATGCTTCTGTGCAGCAGGCAAAAAAAATAACTAATTTCTTCAGTTACAAAATTGGACCATTCCTCCTCTCTATGTATCAAAGAATTGGTAAATGGTACTAAGAACTTACCAAGACCAGCAGAATACTTACTAGTTTGGAAAGCAGTATTTCGGTATTTGATCACCTGCAAAACCCGCTTTAATCACACCAGAGCCCTGTGGGAGCAACAGATAAACATGTGAGTTTATCATTCATCCAGTGATCTTCACAAGTTTTAAAGGAGAAGCAAAGTACACCAGCATGAACAGATCCTCTCCTTTTTACCAGGAATAAAGCTCCCCAGGGAGCTGTTTCTCCAGGCAGGGTTGGGGACGGGAAGGTGCCAACAGGCCAGCTTGGCCACTAGAGGGGAGTAACTGGCACCTCCCTGGCAGCAGCACATCACACATGGCACAAACACCCAGGAGCATCCTGGTGCTGCTCCACAAACACACTCGAATGCTGCTCTGTACAGACAAGTATTTTTCTATCCAGTGCTATGGCTAGGGGTGCAGGAGGCTAAATCCAAGGTCTGGAGTTTTCTATAGATCTTAAATACTCTCTAGGTGGAGGAGAGCACTCTAGAAAGTCAAGCAAGAGCAAGTGAATCCTTCCAGCTTCAGGGCCCACTGCTAAAAGGGGGAGGATGAAAGCTGTAGGCCTCTCAGAAGCAGCAGATTCACAAAGGATAAAGGAAGATAAAAGTCAGAGAAGGGAATAGGAAAGGTCTGTGTGAAACAGATTGGAGTGGAGACTAGGGAAAAGAATATTAGGTGGTGGATAAACTAGCTAATGCTAAGGAGGAAGGTCACATAAACATGGTCAGAAAAGACACTGGAAACAAACCCAAGCTGGGGTCTGGAAAGAACAAAGGTCCCAGTCAGACTGCAAGGGGAAGGGCTGAAGGCAGGAAGAGCAACTGACAGGATAGGGCTTGTTTAGAAGGATAAGGAAGAAGAGATGAGGCATGGCAGTCAAAAAGGCACAAACCCAAAAAGCCTACTGCAACATTCAAAGCAGCACCAGCAGCAAACACAAGGCGGGTAAAACCAGCCACAGGGAAGCCCTGGCAGGGAGTCAGTACTGGGCATCCAGCCCCGCAGCTCCCGTCCCTGTCAGTATCATCCGGAAGCGTCCTGGGAACCCCATCATCAACTTGGATCTGTGCTGACTCCTTCCCCTCCTCCATTTCCTCTCCCTGCACAAGGGAATGACATCTTGAAACAATGAGCAGCTTGCAGGAACACCCAAGTTTTGCTAAGGAGTGGATTTTCATAGGATCTTCCGGATAAGCTGTTTCACTAGTAATCACAGACTACCATGGGAGCAAGCTCTTCTGCAGAAAGAGGACCAGTTCTGCTTTACCCTGTACTGAGAGAAAAAAGCACGTGAGTTTGTACTGAAACCTGTGAAGTGCCTGTTCACTCTCAAGGGCTCTGCAGCAGGACTGCTCTGTTTGAGGCCCAAAAGACATTCTGGCTGCCCCAGAGCATTTTAAAATGAGTAGCAATGCAGCTTCTCCACTGCTTTCCCCTTTCCCCCCACCTCTGCATGGGTCAGCATCACTACTTTCACTTTGAGGCTGAGGCCAAACGAGTTGCTCAGGGCTCTGCCAGACAAGCCCTGGCTGCAGCTGTTTCTTGATGCTGCTGTCCCAGCTGTCCGCCCCAATTCCTGTTCCAGAGGTTACCAGCCAGAGCCAGCTCAGCAGAAAGGAATACAAGGTGGCCACAGCCTCTCCAGTTCACAGTCCAGCACATTATTCCCAAGCTACTTTCATCACCAGATTCAGCCGAGGTGCTGGGCTTTGCACAGAATATGTGTTCTCTGCCAACCAGGCCCAGGGCACTCCTGCCCTAAAACCGTAGGTTGTCAGATTTGCCAGGATGCATCTGTAAGAGATGAGTATCAGGAACACTTTGCAAACCAGACCTAGCTAGTTATAAAACACGTAAAAGCTAGATTGCTTGACTCCTTGCCTCCTGACAAACTCCTGCAGCCAGGCTGCTCAAGGAGCACATCCAAGCTGGCACCTGGGCAGGACTACTCCCTCTGGGCAAGGGGGACTTGGCTCCAGTTGCATCCCAAGATCTGCACTAACAGGTACTGGTGTGACAAAGCAGCCTGTGAAGCGTTAAAAAGACTTCACTTTAGACAGACTCTCTTCTGGCTATTCACTTCAAAGTGAGCAGGAGTTAAACAAAACCACTATTCTGATTTTCCTTATCATAGCTTATAAACAACTCTATACCTGGGAAATAATACTACCTTTTGTCAAGCCTTGTAGCTAAAAAGCTGAATCAAACACAGTAACATAACCACATCAGAATATTGTGCTTACTGAATATTTCATTCAAGATAATGACTGATCTTGCTGCCAACAGTCTGCTGCTGGGAAGTGCCTTCAGGAGAACAATGATGCTTCTATTTTGACACAGAGATCAAAACTTCCTTATGCCAGGCCAAAAGTTACCCAGCATGTCCTGGTGAGATTCCCAGCAAATTATGCATTTTAAGATTTACATATTGAAGTTCAAAGTTAACTGAATGTGTTGATAGCTCAGAATTCCTAGCTGGAGTCAAAGACGGAGGAGTGTTTTGAACGTGCCGGTAGGATGGGACTTCAACATAGTTGTGCTTCCAGGTGCCTGGGAATGAACCAAGCACAGCTGTTTGCTATCTCCGCACTACAAAGACCCAAGAGCACTTTCTGAACTATTCAATATTTCTTGAAAACATTTTACTACTTTGAAGATATATGTGCACTGAGTAAATCTATTTATTATAGACCAGTTTGAGATTCCTATACAATGAGAGGGAAAGTTTTAAATTCTGAAATAGCCCTGGCTGATTCAGAAGATTTAAAAGACCTATTTTCCCATCTTTGTTTCAAATAAGCAAAAAACCACGAATCCTCCTTTCTGCTACAAGCTCTGATTTATTAAAATTTTTTTTTTAAATTTAAATTAATAACCTTCCACTAGTAACTATCCTGGCTGGGCTTTCATCCTGTTTTCTGTGTTGTTTTGTTTGTTTTGTTTTGGTTTTTTTTTAAATCTGAGCAAAAGAATAAAAGAAAGAAAAACTACATATCAAATGTAAGGGTCAAGGAAGATAATCTCATGGAAAATTCTCATTGAGTACCTTGAAGTAAGAGAACCTGCCTATTCTATAGCTCTGTAGCTAGTCAGTTATTGATTCAGTCATCTTGGTGCATTTAGGACTCAAATTTAAATGGTAATCACCAAGAGTAAATCTAGCACTTTTTATGGAGAATGCACATTTCATACCATAAAACTATTTTATTAGATACATATTTTATAATATCAAGAATAAACCAAAGACACAACAGCCCTTACTGACAGCTCAGCTGTTTAAAATGCCACCACTTAGACTACAAAGCCAAATTTTATCCTCTTTTATGTAAACAGAAACAATTCCATAAAGGTCAAGGAATTTGCACTTGCTTAGGCCACAGCTGAACCATGCTGCCTATTTACATGTGCTTTATGTTCATCAGGGCTCCCAGACCATTTATTTCAGAAAGAGCTTGTTGGGAGTGCAAGATGGGAATACAATTCTTTTAAAAATGATCTACTGGACAAGGAGGATTATTACAGTTGTGCTGAGGCACAGCTCTAACCTCTCACTGTATATTACAAGACCTTCCCCACTGAAAACATGCATCTGAGTGTACTGTTTGGCAAGAGAAAAAACACCTCCTTGTTTAGGTTTTAGCTGCATACTTTAATGCCCTTTTGAAACACACCAAGATGCTAGAGTAGGGTTGGAACGGGGGTGGTCTGGCTTGTTCACCAGTTCAGTACCTCATTTCCCCCTCCCCACCCTTCTATACAGACACATACATGAGACAGGATAACATTCAGACTTGAAAAGGTGCCTGCAGCTCTCTGAGAAACAGCAGCAACGAGGCATCAGGAACAGCGGTACCTGCTCTGTGCAGCTCAACTTCCCGTCCTGCCTGAACTCAGAAGAGTACCAAAAATGCAGTGTCACCAGAAGGCTCCTTGTCTGACAGCCTGCCAGCATTAAAGGCAGATGTCACAACAACTGCTTCATTCTACTTCTTGTACAGGGAGGGGAAGCGGGGGAACTCATTTATCAAAGAGACACGAAAAAGAATTAGTTTTTATAAGACCAGCTGATAAAATAAGAAAAGAAACAGAGTCAGTTGCTGACACATGAGCTTTTCCTTCAAGGCTGAAGCAGGGGCGGCAATCACTGCACTCCAAAACAAAAGGACATACTGAAGTTAGATATAGGCTGCGATCATATGACTATAGCAAAACAAACTGATGCTCACTGTACCAGAGTGCCTGGAAATAGCTTTAATGGTTAGCTAATCACACCACAGCAGGGTCAGTGCTATTCCAGTCATTTCTAAGAACAATTAATCTAACTTATTCTTTAACTTCCCCAGTAAAGAAGATAACACGTTCATCTCCACATAGTCGATTCTACTGCTTAATCTCCTTTCCCATTAGATATTTTCTGTTAATGTCTAACCTAAATTTCTCTGCTGTGATTCCAGGGGAAGAAACAAAACCAGAACTGTATCAGAGAACTCAAGCTGTAAAAAGGAAATTGGGATCAATAATAAAGAAGGGGTTAGAAGAATAATTAGCTTGATCTGAGAGATCTTACAATCATTCAGCTTATATGGGAAAAAAATAGGTTGAGAAGAGCTAGACTAGTAGGTCCACATGTCATATAGCAAAAGGACTCATCAGAAATTAAGATTACAGAGAAAGGAGCACAACACTGACCCCTCAAAACAACAAAATCTGAATCACGGGCAGTAGAGGTCAGAAGGGAGGAGCATGAATTTGTGACTCATTACACTGAACGAGGCTCCTTCCAATATATGCCTGCCTGCCCACCCACCCCTTCCTGGATAGTCTTTTCTCTTGAGAGGCCAGCATGGATAGGGCTAATCAAAACTGGACCCAGAAGTACCTCACTCAGGCATGCAAACACTCCCACTCATCTCAAACCGAGCTGTTACCCACACAGGTTGAAGGTCTGCTTTGAGCTAATGAGAAGCATTATCAGGTAGGAGCAGCCACCTGTGACACCACACCCCACTGTCAAATTACAGCTGATACAACCCATGCTGGGAGCAGTTCCTTCAGGAGCTCTGCCTCCTGCCGGCTCTGGCATGGGAATCCACGCTTTGGGTGCCAGCACTCCCTTGCAGTGAGCACTAGGCTGGATATGTTAGGAGGAGGCGGCTGGTCCTGGGAGTGACTGTCCCCCTTTCACTGGGCCTGTCAGGGAGCTGCCTGTGATAGGGGGCTGGCTGCAGGGTGCCATCCCCAGCAGGGTCCCACAGAGAAGAGCAGACCCCCCAGAGCATGCTGGGAGT